CTCCACAAAGGTCAATCGAGACTGTTAACTAGACAGAGATGCTAATCTCCATCGTTTGAGGGGTTTAGACGTTATATTAACCTGGCATAATGGGTGTGTTTGTGTCATTATGCTAGGCAGGATTTTAATATGTTAGAGGGATATTGGAACAACTTGGGGCGATGGTCACTTCTAATGACACTTGTATCGATAAAGCTCATATATAACACATACGTCTTGAGTGACGTTTACTTAAGTACCATAATGTACGTATAGCGACAGTTTCCAACCACGTGTACGATTTATAGAACGAGTTTATTATACTAAAACGATTGAGAAAAATATCGAACACGATCGGGTTGCAAAACGATGCGTGGCTTTTCAAAAGGGTGCACTTTAAGACAATGAAATGAAACGTTGGATTCGTTGAAATGGACAGGTATTGACCGGATAGTTGTAGAATTTGGATATAATTTGCGAAATGTAGCGTGTTCACGCAAACGTCCATTAGCTACAAATTTGTTTGTGACAACCCTACTCAACGAAATAAAAAAAACTGCCGGTCAATATGGAATAGTCAACATAATATATATATCATAACGAGCAAACGATAAAACAGAACGTGAATTATGAAATGTTTTCGTCTGCTTTGGTGATAACAGCGCCATTTTATGATGATAAGATATTCCTCAATCAAAACTACATCACCCAAAAAGTTCACACATACTTGTACTTTTGGAGGTAAAGACCACACATCTTAGTACTTTTGGGGGTAAAGGCCACACATCTTGGTACTTTTGGGGGTAAAAATCACACATCCTGGTACTTTTAGGTACCTTTTTTTAAATTCAACAGTTGTATTTGAAGGTGTAATATTGGAGACTAAAAAAAAATATCCCGATAGAATTGCTCGGATGTGTGACATTCATGAAGCCCATTTCGACATCTATCGTTGTTTTAGTGTCTAGGTTATTTTTTAGCAATGTTGAATAATAAATGAGTGAGATATATAGCCAGACAGATATAGTTCTGTACTTGTGAGTTCAGCAACAAATTTGACAATGTCACGAGCGTATGAGTGCAACCACATTCTCCTGTTTCCCGATGGATTGTATTGCTGAGGATGTTGTATATAACTCACAGACAAAAGAAACGGACGTATACATTCACTCCAGTTTACTCCTGTTTTGGAACACTTCGGGATACATAGTGTCCAATGTCCTGATTATATAACGTTACGAACCCTTGCGGTAAACAATACCCTACCGGTGACATACTTCATAATACGTGGAATTTTCGTTGAATTGTAATGAGACATATTACTCATGAATGTAGATGAAGTTCAACTCATATAGCATGGAGAGAAAAAAAAAACTACCCAACCTCACATGACCACGGAATGACCAATCACATAACTGTATGTCATTCCTTTATATTTTAAGTGATCGAGTAGAAAACACTATGTATCTCGACTTGGTCATATGTTTCACAAAAGTTTGGACCTAATTAAAATTGTGCTCTAGTGAGCATATATTAATTGCTTCATGGTGGAGCTCTTCCCATAATACCACACGAGAAACAAGTTTTCCGATGAAATTGAAAGTATGACGAAAATAACATATACTTCATATCGATCTAAAAATCCTTAAAGGCAAAGCTAACCGGAATACTTGACCAGATGAACGCGACAAACTAATTGACTGTATATTGGGCGGTCTCAGTAAACAACACACACAAACCACCGTTCCCCAACTAATTGCCTGAAATAAATACGATATGTCAACGTCCACCATATTGAAAAACCCGGAGGTTATTTCCGCTATTGTGAATTGGCTGCGAGTCAGCTCGTTCGAGTGGAAAATTTTAAAATTGAATGAAATTCTTTCTCATATGTTCTCTTATGTGAATTAATTGTTCATTGAGTTTATCAATTAAATTAAACCAAGCTTCTTCGTCTTTGTGT